TCCGACAGGAACCTGAGCTGTCAGCCCAAAACTGCACGCAAAGACTTTGAAGCTACTGCCAGGCTCTACCTATAGGCCATATATGACAGGGTGGTTCACATGTCTTGCTGCCAAGCTGGCTCGTTCAGCAGCGACTTGTCGAAAAGCGGGACCGTCGGGCCCACGTCCAAAAGCGACCCAATGCCTGACTTGCAGAGCGCGTCTCCCTGAAATTCTCCGAACAAAAATTTCTCTTCGAATGTGGCCTACCACTGCTTTAATTCCTGGCATTGAAAGCCGGGACAGTCTAATTGCAAGTGATGATGAAGCTGGTTCCTGGCAAGTGAAGCCAAGGGGCCAGCTGCCGCATTGAACTTTGCCAGCTCAAACGTGCGACAGAAGTTGAAATTGCTAGGTTGCAGTACCGTGAACAGAGTGTTGACCAGAGCCAGCAAGTTCTCAATGGCCATGGGCAACCCGTCGATGAGGTTTGGAAAGCCAGGGGCTGGTGGAGCAAATGTCGCTGGTATGTCCTCCGTAATTAGGCGCAAGAGGCCGCTGAAGGCAATTGCCGATTCGTGGTGCCAAATGGCATGTGGCACGCGCCAGCAAGCTGAGACGTTCACGAGGTCAAGCCAGGGTGTCAAGTAGTCACCATCCTGACTGCTGCTTATAAGGGAGAGTTAGCAGATCCTTAACATTGCCCCTATATAATCCCTACAGTGCGTATATATATATATACACCCCTACAATTGTCGCTATAGATTCACTCCCCCACTGCCCCTTAAGCGCCAGTAAGCTTCCTCTTCTGCAGCGAAGATTGTTTCCTGCCACGAGTTGTTCAAAGACAACCACTACCAGAAGAAAGAGGGGCCATCCAATCAATCTCCCCTACGGGGTTATCTATTGGATATCTAGGAACGGAAAACAAAGGAAACGACTGTTTGGGGTTGAGAGATCCTAAGGGTTGCAACTACCGGAATACAGCGGCATGAGATTCCACATGCCTGAGTGGTTTTGCCTGTACCTGAAGCCCGAATATTTGGGTATTCGGGACCACTGGGCTCCCGAAACCCCAAACCCTAAACCCTACCTGAACCCCAAAAGTATGTAAAATAATGGCCTTTAAGGCTATTATTATGGGGCTTTGGGCTATTATTTTACATACTTTTGAGGTTTCGGTAGTGGACTGCGCCGAAGTCCTCCCAGAAAGCAGCCTGAAGCAAGCGGTCAAGAAGGCCAGTGAGCAGTGCCCAACCTTCTTGAGGGACCAATGATAGGTTGGGGTTTAGGGTTTAGGGTTTAAGATTTAGGAACAGAAGTAATGGGAATAATCGATGAATAAGACTAGTATGCATAATAGTAACTAATAACCATACTAATAATAGTAATAACCACGAATAACAAATGATAATAATAGTAATAAAGATCTACTACTACTAAAACACGAACAATAACACTGATAGTTAATAATACTGATACGTAATACTAGCAGTTTAGACACAATAAAAATAAAGAACACTAGTACATAGTAACAATAATAAGAGTAGTAGCAAGCTTCGGAATGTCAAGTACAGGAACTTCATGCGCAGTGTTAGCTTGATAGCGTCTGGTTGACTCAGGTTCATACGTTGACTGCTGCACTATGCACACGCCGCAGATATGTAACAGCCGGAACTCAATCCACCGCTATCATTCAGAAAGTCCGACATGTGGTCCAACTAAGCTCCCAACCACGAGAAATGCTGGGAGGCTGCATCCATGCCGTGGAAGCGACGGCTGCAAAATAGGGCGAGCTTGTATCGCAAAGTATTCCTCTGGAGTTGTCTCCTGAGCTGATCAAAGGACCCTTCGTAAAGGGCACCACTATAAGGGATAATAGGGATTATATTAGGGTCCTCTTATATTCTTAATATACAACTATTACAGGGTGGGGGGTCCTCCTAACCTCTTCCTCAGGAGCTACATGACTGGGGGATGGCTAAACTGGTCCAGTGGCTTTCTTCTTCAGTTCTCTCCAGGTTCTCCACCAAAACAACCTGGGGTGCTGTTAAGAAACATAAATTAAGTTGCCATCAGGGGTATGTGCAGTAACTTATATGGTTTCCCCAAGGTAGTAACTTAATTCAAGTTCCCTAAATCCCTACATTCCCCCAGTTTCCATTTCCATTACCCAGCAACACAAATCTCAGGATAAAGAAGACCTGCAAGGCCTGGGCCAATTGTGCCTGCCAGCACGATGTAAAGAAACAGATTTGTTGTGGCCAGAATGTTGAGCTCGTAATTCCTGGGTTGCTGTTAAGGAACTCAAATTAAGTCACCATGATAAGGAAACCCTATAAAATACAATCTACCCATGATTCTCATCGCAACTTAATTCAAGTTCCTTAACAGCAACCCAGATTCGGAAGCGTGTTGTTGAGAGCTTCAGACGAAGCCCACTGATTTGCTGGACCTGCCCAAATGCTGTGAAGTTGCCGAACAACATCTCGCGCATCCCCGAAAGGGTTGTCGTTTGACAACCCAAGAATGACGGTAAGGGTTGGATCGGTGATGTCCACTGCGAGGCTCCGAACCAAAGCCTGGAAAGCTAGGAAAGTCAACGCCCTTATGGCAATAACATCGAAGAACAAGGTGTCAAAGGGGACCTCTACAGGATTGCTGTGCAGCGAGAACGAGGCAAATGCCACCAGAGCGGGCGCTGCAACTAGTTCAGATCTCCAGGGCCATGTGCCACCAAAATCACTGAGCTCTTTGCTGCATGCTAGCAAGGAGATCTCGTAGTACGCATAGTTTGACAGTGTATTGCATGGTTGCCGAATAAGGGATGACTCAGGGTAACTGCTCATGGGCGCTGTTCTGTAAGAGGCTGTGCGGAGAACTGTATCTGCAGCAGGCGTAGGGTTGTCCTCTGTCCAAAAAAACTGGCTCCAGTCACTAGGACCCACAGCCTCACCCAACCTCTGGAACATGCCCTTGGCGGCCTCCCAAAGGTTGGCTTCCACGACCCACTCCGTGCCGTTGATAGCACTGTTGCTGACCGACTCCAAGCACTGTTCAACATCCTTTCGAAACACCCAGCTGAGGTCGTTCTTGAGGTCATATGTGAAGAACTTGAAGAGAGGTTCTCGCGCATACTGCAGCTCAGTTGGTCCCGGGAAGCCACCGATGTTGCTGCAAAATTCTGTGTCAAGCGGTGCAAACTTTGCCGCAAGCCGGAGCTGCGCAATTTGCAGCGGCGACGGAGTGAAGGCAGCAACGCTCCATGTGCGCAATTGCAAGAGCGTGGCCACGAAGAGCCGCATCATCCGCTTGCGGCGAGCATGTCTGTCTACTTTGATCACACTTTGGGCCAAAACCCTGGTCACAAAGGCATCTCGTGGCATGATTTCACGAAAAAGCTGTATGAGTTGGTCTTGTCTGGCACAACGTCTAAACAAGCGCCTTGGTATGCTGAGTATGTCTTGAGGTGCTGTCCGGAAGTTGCTTTAGAATGAGTTCAGGTGAGATGATACTCAGGGCATGTCTTAAGATGTGCAAGATCTAGTCATCCACCACAACCCTGCAACCCTTCATAGTGTAGAGCTTCTTTTTCTAGAAGCCAAATTTCAGTCAACAAGCTCGACGCAAGTAGCCGAGTAGCCATATCACCCAAATGCCAGGGTTCCAAGCGATAGTATAACTGTCGGCTGCAACCCTAAAACCAACAACCGTAAATGGCCCAAACATATGGGTGTCATCCGCCAGGATCAGAAGTAGCCGCAACATAGTACTATAGTCCCCCTTAAGTAGATAGAATATGGCTTTGGGTATGTTATACAAAGATCTCCCATATACCAGATATTCTATCTACTTAAGGTGGACTACATATTTCCAGCACTACTGCAACGACCACCACCACCGCCACCAACAACTACTCCTCCGCGTGCTGCTGTTGATATGATAACCGAACCACTATGACACTGCTGCTGCTGTTGTTGATGGAGGACGTCTTGCGCCACCTCGCTCCCTTACGCCACTGGTACTGCAACTCCTGGAACTTTAGGACTCGCGGGTTAAGCAGGAGTTCTTCCATCAACAACGCTACTGTTATCTCTGACTCTCGTACTTAGCCACCTGCCAACGCCACACGGCCAACACAATGACCATCATGCCCCTGCTGTGATTGGTATCACTCGTTGCTATTGCCAGCAATAATTACTCTTTCGCGAGTAGCACTCTCCGTAACAATGACTATATATAGCTGCCACCATTACGATCTCTTTTGCACACTGCACTGCATTCGCCAGGGAACGGTCTTCGGCCCCAATGGCCAGTGAAGACCTACAGCAACCGTCTGGGTTGTCCACAGGAACTTCTGCGGGGACTTAAGGTTTAAGGATTGAGGCGGCCGCAGGGAAACTCAAGAGCACCTTTCGCAGAAGGCTCCACGCATCTACGGAGACCTTGACACGTCAACACTTAAAGCCCTTACAGTGGTGCTTGTGTAAGGGCCCCTCGCGAAACCACACGAAACTGCCCAAAAGAGGATAGTCTGGCAGCGTCCACACACTGGAAAGCCCCACCCAATCCGGTCTCAAGAGTCTCTGACTGGTGGATCCTGCGAGACAATTCCAGATCACAGACGGGAAAGGATGGACTATCTTCCCTACCCTAATGTCAGGCTTCAGGTACCAAAACATCCAGATTATAGTAGTTGGGACCTAAAACCCTATTGTTTGTGTATGGACCCCTATAGGCCCTAGACCCTGGCTGATAAGGCTTCTTCTCACTTTCAGGATGGGCTTAAGGCGGGCTTACCATAAAAGATTGTGTAGGAATAAGGGAATATATAGGGGCGTGTAGAATTTTTAGGATTGTGGCTAACTGCTACTGGCAGCTGGCCTGCTAAGGCAAGGGCTGCACCACTTCCTTCAATCACACCCTCAGTAGCCAGTAATCAAATACCACCCCCAAAGCCTTTATTAAATGGTGTGCTGGCCTAAACCCCTAAGCCCTAAACCCCTAAACCCCTAAACCTGGCGTTTTGCTAAGGATCTCAACAATGGAACTGAGCTTCTGCAAGGACCCCTCAGCTCATGGCAACGCCTAGGAGATGATAGCTTTAGAGCTGAAGGTTTGGGCTTGAGGGAGGGGACCTCAAAAAAGGGGAGCACAGGGATCCCTAGGAAAGCATGGTTTCCGAGCGCCTTTGTCAGTTTGACTGCAAGCCGTGGTCGGATTCCCCGGCGGCAAGGCTCCGCAGATGCTCAAACTGAAGTGGCAATGTCTCCAGACAGGGAGCTTCCAGGGACCCTCGTGATAAGACAGGGATTATGAGGAGGGTACTTGGGGTTGCCGCGAAGGATTCTAGACCGGTTACTTGTGCGAAGCTCCTAAGTCCTAGGGGACCGTTTAGCCATCTAGTGGCTTTCAGCATCAATTGACCCGGACATGTCCAGTCATCTACCAGTTGCGAGGGAAAGTCTGAGTGGTGCGAGCAGTGCGCAGGTTGTGCAAGCATGCAGGCCATCCTTGAACGTACAGCAGCCAGGGGGAGGGGACAGCCAACGCGTCCAAACTCCGGTCCCTGCTTGGTGGAGCTACCAAGGTGAAGGGACCGATGCATCGTTGAGCACGCAGCATCAAAGTCTTGTTTGCGTCAGTACCTCCACGCTTCATAAACGTCTAACAGGAAAGACCTTGACTTTGGCAACCTGAGAGCTGAGGGCATCGGGCACATGAGGTCTAGCAGGTTACATAGCTCCTCCTTTCAACAAGTGGGGCATGCACGGTCATCAGTCAAGCAGGAAGAGCTGAGGGCGGTCGTCCACAAAGACTCGCCCGTAATGCTTCGCTACCGTTCTGCACTGGAAGTTGCATGCACATGCCATGCAGCATACAGAGCCCTGCAGCTTAGAATCTGCAGCGAGAGCCTTACCTGACCCCGGAGCTGCAGCGGATAGCACCTGTGACTCCAGTTACTCTCTCTTAAGGGTGCTATACCCTGCATTTATCGGGTTAAGAGGTATTTGCAGCAGATTAGTGGAATTACAGCTAGACCTTGCCACAGTGCACGGAGCCCAGAACTCAAACCCCAACTTCAGCAAAAGCTCCGCGTGGCAAATTCTGGTATGATTCTTGCGGATCTGGTGCTTGAGATACATGTTTGAAGAGCGTTGAATTGGAATTTCCTGACCCTTCCACTTGGCACAGTTCGACGAAAGAGCTCTGTCACTTGCCACGGACTCATGTTGCGCCTTGAGAGCAGCTTGGGAGGCGTGGTGGTCTCAACGCTGCGAGAAATTAAGGTCCAGGTTGCCTCAGGCTGCTTGAGGCTTTTACATCTATCCGATACGATCCTTTTGGGCCTTATCATGATGAGCTCCCTGATGCATCCAGGAAATTTGCCCCATGCGACCACATATGGCGTGCCTCAAACCTGCACTTGTGTCAAAGCGACATGCTGACTCCCGCCCACCCCGGAGCTGATCTTGGAGGCATTGGCGGTGGCTCGTTGGTGGTGAGCCTCAACTTTCTCGGCACAGGGTTATAGAACAGGCTGGATCCAAGGACGAGACACTCCCCTGCGGGCTGGCGGAACTCTTCTTGGGGGGGATAGCTTGCAGAAAGAAAGCCCTCATCTTCAGCCCAGTAATCCTCGGGGCAGCTTAAGGAAACCTGACAGCGCAGCCGGCACTCTGCAGGCCATTGGCTCAAGGACGGGATGCACTTCGCCATGGGGATGCAAGTTCCTGTGTTTGGAAATCTTCCTCTAAGTTTGGAACTATGCGCCCCAAGATGGGCCCTTAATCTTGGGGTCCTTATATGCCTATTGTAACCCAGTACATGCCCTAGTTAGGAGCCCAGGGCAGGGACTTACTCCCAAGCCCAAAACTACACATACCTGGGGCATAGTCCGAATGTGCAAGCTTGCCGCAGCATGGGCTAGGTGCCGGACGAGGGTTTCGGGCTTAGGCATAGGGATGTTTCAGGTTTGGGAAGTAAGGAAAAACTAGGAAAGGGCCTGGGTCCAGTCGAAGCGCCATGTGGTACCTAAGCCATGCAACGGGAAACAATGCGAGGGAAACAGTTGCAACATGGCAACAAGATGCCCTACATCCTTTTTGCCCCCTTTCCATGTTGCGGAGTTGGGGAAGGATCAGGTTATGGGCTTTTCTGTCAGCTTCTGGCCTGTTGCGTTATGATCTTAATTGTCTGTCAACATTTTTGAGGGCCCATTTCAGTGGGTAGGACTGCACGGGCTGGCCCCAGCTTCCAGAATCCTCACTCCAAGACCTACCATGCATTTGCTGCAGAGGCAGTCTGGCATGACAAGAGGCTTCATTCCCAAGACCAAAAACCTGAATTAAATTTGGCCTGACCCGCGGAAGCCACCGGTATGCCTGGCTAACGAAAGGTTGTCCAAATACCATGGCTGATGTGAAGGGTTCCTGCAGATCCATTGCATGGCAATGTGGTTTCCAAAGGCCCTAATCCAGAAACCACCTTGAACCCTGCACCCAGAACCCTTCAGCCTGAAATCCCTTGGAGGTCTGCAGAAGGTTGTGAAGATGTTGGGCGCCTTGGCCCGACTTCGGCCTTCCCACCTCAGACCTTTACACTATCCTCCCCAGAACGAACATGGAACCCTAGAAGGGGCCTTCTGAAGTACAGTTGTCCTTCTAGAATGAGACTATGTGGGGTTCCATGTTATGTTGGGGTTTGGGGGTCGGAATCCTTGCTCCATGGCGGCTAACTTCATCAACATCTTGCGTCCGTTCGGGAGATCCTTCTAACGAGCAAGGACGCACCCATTGGGGCAAGAATATGTGGAAAAAAAAGACATTGAGGGCAAATGCCTCCAGGAATCCGGGAACCGCATGTTCAAATCTTTCGGATCAGGATACACTTTATCTGACGATCTGAGGGGGTGTCGGACTCAAGCGACGTTGCTCTGATTCCAGCCAAGGAGTTTCTGGAAGCAACCCCCACACGATGATGGAGAGGCTTTGGGTTTGGGAGACCCCTGCAACAACGGTAGCCCGCTGTTGTACAAAAAGAACTTCTGCCTTTCCGCGAAAGTACAACAGCAGCGAGAATCCTTTTAGTGGCACTACCTGGTGCTTAGTAAGGAAGTAGGAAACATATCCCTATAGCCGCATTCCCTGCGCACCAGGAAAAACAGTGGAGTTGCCGGCATGGGCTGGAAGGTCAGGCGGACCTTGTTTTCAGCTGAGATCGCTGCCAGTCAGCACTTTACTACCCCCTTGCACCCTCCAACAAGAGATCCTAAATCCTCGACCCTAAACCCTAAAGCCCTCATCTC